TACCATCGTCTTTTGTATGGTCACTGATGGTCATGAGATTAAGGTACCATGTGTCCCAGGTGCATTGTGCTCTTGGTGGTCTGAGTTCGAGTCACTTCTGGGGTGTGGAGTTTTCAGTTTATATATATATATATATATATATATATATATATATATATATATATATATATATATATATATATATATATATATTTATATATACTGTATATTTATATATACTGTATATATATGTGTATATATATTTATATATACTGTATATATATTGGTTCGGAAACCACTTGGTTTCCGAACTTTAGTTATCCGAAACTTCCAGTTTCCCGATTGGGGTTGGGGAGTCACGCTACACGAACTAAGTTCGGGTAGGAAGCAGTCCGCCAAGCCTCACACCGGCCGGGGTGTGAGTTACCCTGCACGAACCAAGAAGTTCGGGTGAGGAAACGGTCAGACAAGCATGGCGCTGGCCTGTGGTGGTGGGTGGGTGGGTGGGTGGGAGATGGTTTAGTTGGCCCACTGACCGTGTCGAGCACTACCTCTCTGGTGCCTGCCCTGTGACGTCACAGATTCATGGCCTATTATTCCCATTGTTTGAATTTGTCACAAGGCTGGAGTGTTCATTCTGTGACTTTGTTGGATATATCTGCACAATCAAGGAACATCCGTGCACCATGTCAGCTCCAAATGCCAGCCAGCATTGTGTCAGTCAAAGCATCAACAAGTGGGATACATAAAAGAAAGAGGTCAGTGATGACATTTAAGAAGATGAAATAATTAAGAAGGTGGAGAGCAGTGTCCCGAGAAGTGTCGTGTGCGCTGAATATGGCATTAGCAAAATTACTGTTTTTGATCTTCTTAAGGCTAAACCTATCATTTTTTACTATTTCTCTAAAACTGAAAGTTGTAAGGCAATACAAAGTAGAAAGGTAGTAAGTAAATCAAAGGTGGAGAGTGTTGATAACGCAGTGTGGGAGTGGTACAAACAGAGCCATGAGGTGACGAAAAAGCCAGTGGCAAATGATGTCACAAACAAATGTCAATTAAAGTCTTTTTTTTTTTCTTTGGCTTCCAAGAAAGCTCGCATTGCATCACCTGCACCTGACTCATCACAAACTGACCCAGTCAATCCAACAACTTCAGTCAACCCAACACCATCAACATCCACCACCACCTCTTCCATATGGAAGATGATAACTATGCTTTATCAACATCGATCATCAACATCAGTGGATCAGGACTTCACTTATTGGTGAGTACAAACAAAATACGGTTGCATTTATGCTATGAACCTGTCGATTTTTTCCTAGAGTTTATTCATAAATTTTTTGATAATTTTTTTTTTCATTTCTAATTTATTTTTTCCCTCCATTTCTCGTTTACGAACTTGCATGATAACCAACAGGTCTCATCCCCAAGGGGTTTGGAAACCAAGTGGTTTTCTGTGTGTGTGTGTATATGTATATATATCTATATATATATTATATATATATATATATATATATATATATATATATATATATATATATATACATATACATATATGTCGTACCTAGTAGCCAGAACGCACTTCTCAGCCTACTATGCAAGGCCCGATTTGCCTAATAAGCCAAGTTTTCATGAATTAATGTTTTTTCGACTACCTAACTTTTTCGGCTACCTTACCTAACCTAACCTATAAAGATAGGTTAGGTTAGGTAGGGTTGGTTAGGTTCGCTCATATATCTACGTTAATTTTAACTCCAATAAAAAAAAATTGACCTCATACATAATGAAATGGGTAGCTTTATCATTTCATAAGGAAAAAAATAGAGAAAATATAATAATTCAGGAAAACTTGGCTTATTAGGCAAATCGGGCCTTGCATAGTAGGCTGAGAAGTGCATTCTGGCTACTAGGTACGACATATTATATATATATATATATATATATATATATATATATATATATATATATATATATATATATATATATATATATATATATATATATATATATATATATATATATAACTGAAAACTCACACCCCACAAGTGACTCGAACCCATACTGCCAGAAGCACTGCAACTGATGTACAGGATCCCTTAACCACTCGACCAACACGACCCGACAAAAGAGGATGGTATCCAAGGCTAATTCCCCATCCCCCTGCCGGCACTCTGTTGGTAATCTTGGGCATGGTATTTTATCAAATCACCTCATTCTTTGGGGCACACATGAGGAACACAAATGCGAACAAGCCTGAACGGTCTCCAGGCATATATGCAACTGAACACTCACACCCCAGAAGTGACTCGAACCCATACTGCCAGAAGCACTGCAACTGGTGTACAGGATCCCTTAACCACTCGACCAACACGACCGGACAAAAGAGGATGGTAGCCGAGGCTAATTCCCCATCCCCCCCCCGGTACGCCATTGGTAATCTTGGGCATGGTATTTCATCAAATCACCTCATTCATTGATACAATACCATGCCCAAGATTACCAACAGAGTGCCGGTGGGGGGATGGGGAATTAGCCTCGGCTACTATCCTCTTTTGTCCGGTCGCATTGGTCGATTGGTTAAGGGATCCTGTACATCAGTTGCATCAGTTGTATATATGTTGAATATGACTGAAAGTCAATGATTAATAATTCTAACACGAATAAAAAACGGTCAACCTACTCATGAAAAACTCCCCAAACACCAAACACAACACCTTGAAGGAAACTAACATCGTCTATTACCTTCACATGCCCACTTGGGGAGTGTAAGCCCCAAAGAACTTAGTTTATAGGCAAGACAACAACGTCTCTTTCTAGGCGACTAACAATGCTCAAACAACAGGGCTCCATCAAGGAACATATAATCTCTTTTCGCAACCAGACCATCACCAGAGAAACGCATTTACACATTTAACACATAACTGTATTCTACCCACTTCATGACCCCGAACCAACATAGACGCAGCAAGAGAAAGCATGGGCCAATTGGCCTTCTGCAGTTACCTTCATTCTTATGTTTTCATACCCAATTTATACCAACCTCACCCAAAACATTTGTGTCACATCACCTCACCCAAAACCAATATAAGCATGTTGACCAAACCACACACTAGAAAGTGAAGGGACGACAACGTTTCGGTCCGTCCTGGACCATTCTCAAGTTGACCATTTACAATCGACTTGAGAATGGTCTAGGACGGACCGAAACGTCGTCGTCCCTTCACTTTCTAGTGAGTGGTTTGGTCAACATTTTTCAGCCATGTTATTGTGACTCCTTGCCTGCAAATGTAAGCATGATATATGTCATGTTTAAATAAGTCTTTGAGAATGTAAGAAAATCTTACCCTTTCGGTCATATTCAACATTATATGTTTACAAGAAAGCCTGCTAACAAAATATACAAATATATATATATATATATATATATATATATATATATATATATATATATATATATATATATATATATATATGTTGTACCTAGTAGCCTGAACGTCATACTTGGCCTACTATGCAAGGCCCGATTTGCCTAATAAGCCAAGTTTTCCTGAATTTATATATTTTTCAATATTTTTTTGTTATGAAATGATAAAGCTATCCATTTCATTATGTATGAGTTAATTGTTTTTAAATTTGAGTTAAAACTAACGTAGATCTATGACCGAACCTAACCAACCCTACCTAACCAACCCTACCTAACCTAACCTAACCTATCTTAACCTAACCTAAACTAATACAAGTCAATAATTGATGTTTTTAATATAATATAATAATAATAATTCAAATAAACTAATTGGAAACAATTTACTGAAAATAAAGAAAATCACTTGGCCTATTAGGCAAATTGGGCCTTGCATAGTAGGCCGAGAAGTGTGTTCTGGCTACTAGGTATGACATCTATATATATATATATATATATATATATATATATATATATATATATATATATATATATATATATATATATATATATATATAATGGGAAGACGGGACACCACGAGTGTAGCTCTCATCCTGTAACTACACTTAGGTAATAACACACAAACCCATTCCTCATTTAAATATGCTTTTAAGACATTGATATTACTAGGCAAAATTCACCAATATTTCAACCATTACACTCTTTTAAGTTCAGCAAAACTTGTATTGAGCCGAATCCTAGGAATGATTTTCATGCACCTAATTTTCCAAATAAACTATTTTAGAGATGGACAAAATCCAACGAACGAACACTCTTCAGAAATGCTAGTTTTGGGTTACCAACTCACAGCCCATCCTGGATAAATGTTTATGTGACAGGCAATTAGCAGCTGAGGGTGAAGACTGAAGGGCAACTGTGAGGTGCTCTCATGACCAGTGTTACATAAACCTTTGGTAGGAAAGAAAAATAAATAAATAATATAGCACCATTTGCATCTGTAAAATTAAAATGTTAAGATATGTATGAATATGAATCCATGCTGATGTGCACACAAATGTATATATGTAGTGTATATGCAAGCATGCCACATGCACACACATGCAAGCATGCTACAAGCACACTCAAACATGCAAGCATGTCAAACATATATGAATATATGCATGTACGCTTACATATATACACGCATACACACAAAAAAATATTGTTAAGTTTTCTTTGCAAACAGAGCAGTAGACGGTTGAAACAAGTTAAGTGAGGTGGTGGTGGAGGCCAAAACCGTCAATAGTTTCAAAGCGTTATTTGACAGATTACTGAGAAGACGGGACATCACAAGCGTAGCTCTCATCCTGTAACTACACGTAAGTAATTACTAAACCCCAATTGCATATCAAATACACTCATTATACAGTATACTGTATATTAGGTCCAATGTTTTTCAAGACTTGTGGTACAAACTGATGCAATGTCACCACCTAAAACAATCGGAAACATGAAAATTTCACGCAGTCATTGTCATCAGTCAAGAACCTTCAGGTGTTGCGGCATGTCAGGAGCATCCAGATGAAACTCGATCGATTTTCCAAGGATATTAAATGAAGACTTACTTATAAAATGTTGCTAATCATAACATAAGAAAATGATTAAAGTAAATAATATAAAAGCAAAGACACAATACAGAATGATCCCATATTCAGGTCTCATAAAAGAAACAAAATTTAAATAGTTATCACCAATATGTAACTAATACAATCCTTAAAAGTTAAATACTGTACATATATATAAAAAAAAATCCACTTTACGTGTTTTTTTATTCCTCGGTTGTTTTTCAATAACCAATGATACATTTTTGTTTGTTATATGTATGTATACACACACACACACACACATATATATATATATATATATATATATATATATATATATATATATATATATATACATGGAGAGATAAGTACTGTACTATAAAATCACAATATTGTCCTTACATACAATAAATGTATTTTGCTCTAAAATAAAGAGAATAATAATAATGATGATCACGCTTTGTCTACTACAGTCTAGTAATGTTTATATATCATGTGTATCAAAACTAGTCTCTATACATGGGGTGAAAAAGGTAAGTTTTACATGGCAGTTGGGATAGAAAAACATTTAAGACCAAGTGAAGAATGAGAGGTAACATCTGGACATGGCACGAGACACAACAGGAAGAAACAAATGTATGACGGACAATGCAATAAGAGTAGAATATGGGTCAAAATGTTGAGATGAGAAGGCCGGCTATAGCAAGATCCTAAAACACAAGGCAGAATCAAGGATAGGAGGAAATGGCTCAAATATGATTGTTGTGACTCTTTTAAGAAGTTACACATGCAGTCATAGCACTGCTACTGAGTCTATTCTTCTTAATTAAAATATAGTACACTTGAAAGTCTTTGCAGCATCACGTGTATCTTGCTATTTATAACCTCTCCAGGCAAGTCTGGGCAAAATACATTGATGTAACATTGAATCAACATTGATAATGTTGGTTCTATGTGAATTTAATATTACTTGAATATATTTGCCCGCTGGGAAGACACACTTGCAGCCTTGGCATTTTGAGAGTGTATTAGCATGTCTTTGGCAAAATGTTGTAGTAGTAAATTGGCATATGATCTAATCTGTGAATTTAAATGCACTTTACATTACAATGGGATGATAATATTGACTTCTCACAAATAAAGAATTTCATAAAACTGTGTAATCACAACTTGTGTAATTTGTTAGAATGGTACCAGTCTTCCATGTAACTTTGCACATGGCTCTAATGGAAGTTAACGTAGGTTAAGAAGCAAGTCATATTACCAAATGCAGCAACACGTAAAGGATGACACAGTTGCTACACTGACACAAACACCAGTGGAGGCAGGAAAAGGTGTAATGCATGTGTGCTTGAGTTATGTTTGTAATGTGGTGTTTATATCTGTGCTGTTTGTGTCTGTGGTGTTTGTGTCTGTGGTCATGTGTTTGTGGAGTGTTTGTGGAGAGGTATAGTTGTACTGTATCACAACTACAGTGATACAGTAATGCTGGATATATATACAGCATGTGTGTGCACATGTACACACATACACATGCATGTGTGTATATTTATGTATGCAGATGCATGTATGTACACCCAATGTATGTACACCCATGCATGCACATGTGAAAGTGAATACATCTGGCAATAAACACAATTTCTAAACCTATCTAAAAACATGAGCATTAAAAAATGACCACTGTTATTTGCCTGGCACAGGCAACCTTTTAAAAAAAAAATTATACTTGAATCACAGAATAAAAGATCAAGTGGAGAGTGTATTTCCTCGTGGCATACAAATATCGAGGCTTCGTGACAAGTAACTAAGTCCTAGCTACTCTCTCCATAAGTCTTGTTCTCCTCCTAATATGCCCTCTAGGAGTCAATCTTAACCATTGCCAGAACAACAATTTTGAAAACCCTAAAAACACTTGGCTTATATTTTGTGCAAGAAATGCTAAGGCAATAAATTATAAACAAGGATATACAGTACTTTTCTGTAAAAATAAATAACTTTAACCACACTTTTGGTTAACAATTAAAATGCATTTTACCTTAATTACTGGCTTAATAATATAATAATTATATATTATGTAAACTTTAACAACCTAATATTTCATTTTCAGATCATTATTTCATATAACATAAAGGAAACCTGTCTTATGGAAACTTAACTAGGACTTTGAATTGCACATTCTCATCTCGTTACACATTTTACACAGCCTGGCCAAACAGTGTCACTAGTGAAGCACACATATTTATTATCTTATGACTGGCAGGAAACACAATGAAAGGTGGGTGACACCGTACAAAAATGGGAATTATTTCCAGTTTTCACTGACACTTGGCAAAAACCCAACCTTCTAGGAGACCCATGGTCTTCAGAGAAAGGCTTTGGCAAATTATAAATAGCAAATGGATCCTATCTACCAATTAGCTAGCCGGCAATTACAATGACTAACATCTGTGTTTTTACTTAAGTGATTTCAGGATCAGCAGCAGCAAATCTGCTGTAGTTTTCAATGCCAGAGTTTGTTTATTTTACTTAAAGGTCACTGAAGCCAAATAATGAATGCCTGTGCAAGTCTTCACTCCACTGTAAGTCTTATGAGACTACAGAGGGGCCTGGACACCACAATGGGGGGGGGGGGGCGGAAGAAAATGGTCACACTCTGACCTGAAGAGTAATTCCTCTCACGATGATAATAGTTGTAACTCAACCTTCCATTGATCTGGGGCAACTACTCTTTTCCCCAACCCCAGAGAAAACATCTGGAGGATTTTGTCCCATAAACCTCAGAGAATGACACAGCACCGACAATATCGTTGCCGCGACCTGCCCTCTGCGGGCTGTGGTGTCTGAGGGGCAAAGTACGCATGCACTTTGATATTCGGTAAGTGGCTCTGCAAAACAAAACAAAAGAGAGAGGATAAATTATGCACATTGATGTATTAACATGACTCATCCTAAAATATAATACAAGAACAATTTTAAGAAGACCCAACAATATTTGCATTACTGATATGAATTTTGTGTAAATCAGCAACTGGATGTAATGAAGTACCCTACTCTGGTGAGCCACTCAATGGCTTCCCGCTGAGCCTGCTAAGCCTTAGATAACACATCAGGCCTCTGAGGCCCACATGAGCACACTGGGAGACAGGACCAAAATCTTTTTTTTTTTTTAGATATATACAAGAGTTGTTACATTCTTGTACAGCCACTAGTACGCGTAGCGTTTCGGGCAGGTCCCTGGAATACGATCCCCGCCGCGAAGAATCATTGTTACAACCAAGTACCCATTTTACTGTTGAGTTAAACAGAGGCTACAGTTAAGGATTTGCACCCAGTAAATCCTCCCTGGCCAGGATACGAACCCATGACAAAGCGCTCGCGGAATGCCAGGCGAGTGTCTTACCACTACACCACGGAGACTGGTAAATCTGGCTCTCCCTATGAGACGAGAAGAATTTGGAGATCAGATATAAACATGGAAACAAGAAGAAACCACGACAGTATATGAATTATCAAAACGGTAAACTAATTGTAAGAAAATTAGTAAAACTGAGGAGAACAAGGCAAACAATCAAAGCCATGAGGTAAATATCACAGCATAATGTGCCTGATTGCCAATAGATACCATCAATGGCCAATTGGGACCCCTACATGCCAGCCACCTCATTCATCAATTGTCTGATCATAAACGCCCACCTACAACCCCCCACAGTGAAGAAGGGAACAAGGAGAGTACAATGAGCCACTGAGGGATACACCAGAAAAGTTCTTGTATTACATTCATTGCTTGATTTATGGAAATGTCTCTCAGTAGCTCTCCAAGCTTCTCCATGATAGATAGCATCTCACCAAAGGAGGACAGCTTTTCTAAAGAGAAATAAAGGATTAATAATAAAACAGAAAAGAATCAGCGTTGAATGTAATGAAACGCCATTTTCTGGGTGTGACCCGTAGGCTCCCCGGAGCTTACTAGGCCGATATGCTAATGTCAGACTTTGGCATCAGTTATGTATATGGAGTTCGGTTGAGAATAAAACCATGTAGACGAAGCTTGTTTCTCTTCAGCCTTCAATTATAACAGTGGCGACGAGGATTAAACATGTTTGGCAGAGAGCCTGGGTACAAGACGTGGTGTGAGGATCAAGTGAGAGCAGGGTACGTCATGTGGACGAGTGGACGCTTCGTATATCACAGTGTGCTACCACTGTAGCCATGGCTACGCCGCTCATTTCAATGGAGCCGTTAAACACTGCCAAGATCTCGTTGGACCTGTGGCTCAGCCTGCTGGAAGCAAATTTTCAGTACTGGGAGATTAAGGAGGATGCCAACAAAAAACCGGTACTCTTAGTTTCACTGGGTTCTGAAGCATATAGTGTTCTCGGAAATTTGTGTGCACCTGAACTACCCCACACTAGGTAATTACAGTAGGTAATTACACTTAGGTAATTACACGAAGACCTATGTAGACCTGATTGCCCTGCTTAAACGTCATTATGTGGTGAAACCTTCATATTACAGGAGTTTCATGGATCTCCAGAAGAGGACGAAAAAGCAACAGGAATCCGTACAGGATTTATACGCGGAATTGGAGGCTTTGGCTAACCACTGCAACTTCAGAGCACAGTTGGATGGCAGGGTTAGGGACCAGTTGTTCATGGCAGTGGAAAAGGAGAATTATTTCCCTAACATGGTGGCAGAATACTTAGATCTACAATCGATGACATCATGGACAATGCTCGAGAAGATATTGAACCTGGAAAGGGCTTTTGGAAGTAAGACTTCTACTCAGGAAATTATGGTCGGACAGGGCCAGACCAGATGTAAACACTGTGGATACAATCACATAAGTAGCAAGTGCAAGTTTAGTGCCTATATATGCAACTTTTGTAACAAGGAGGGACACTTGCAGAGAGTTGTAGGGAATATCTGAACAGGAACAGCAAGGCCTGGGAGAGGAGATGACAAGGGAATGCAGGAAGAAGAGGTAGTGGTACTGTGGTCAAGGCAGTAGAGGAAGGTAACTCGTCTGAAGAAGCTGCAGGTCAGGAAAGCAGACTATATTCGGTGAAAGAAAAGGTATGTTCAATGAAGTCACAAGTGGTGAATTTTTTAATTAATGGGAAGTTAGTTCCCTTGGAACTGGACACTGGTGCTGCAGTACCAACATTGGAGATTGGGCAGATACCTTGCAATTGAATGTAAAACTAGATAAAAAATCATTAAGTGCATTATGATAATGTACCGATTAAGGTCTATCGCAAGGTGTTGGCAAAAGTAGGTTATAATGGAAAAGAAACTATCCAGGATTTTTATGTAGTGGATTCACATAATCCTAGCCTATGTGGTAAGGATCTCATGAAAAAAGTGGGAATTTTCTTGGCGGGCCTAGATGAATTGTCGATAGTTAAAACAATTAAAAGTGCCGAACAAATGTTAGATAAATATTCAGTGGAGGCAGATCAGTCAATTAATAGCATGGTGGCAAAAATTCACCTGAAATGTGGGGCTTCACCTAAATTTTTCAAGGCAAGAACAGTGCCGTTTCATTACAAGCAATTGGTAGAATCAGCCCTGGAAAAGCATGTGGCAGAAGGCATCTTAGAGCCAATTACACATAGTGAGTGGGCAGCCCCAATTGTACCAGTGCTTGATACCTGCTTGATGGGGTTCTGAGAGTTCTTCTACTCCCCAAGCCCGGCCTGAGGCCAGGCTCGACGTGTGAGAGTTTGGTCCACCAGGCTGTTGCTTGGAGCGGCCCGCAGGCCCACATACCCACCACAACCCGGTTGGTCCGGCACTCCTTGGAGGAAACTATCTAGTTTGCTCTTGAAGATATCCACGGTTGTTCCGGCAATATTTCTTATAGTCGCTGGGAGAACGTTGAACAACCGCGGACCTCTGATGTTTATACAGTGTTCTCTGATTGTGCCTATGGCCCCTCTGCTCTTCACTAGTTCAATCTTGCATTTTCTTCCATATCGTTCACTCCAGTATGTTGTTATTTTACTGTGTAGATTTGGGACCTGGCCAAGTGTTGAAGGCAGATCAGAAATCCTTGAGAATCTGTGCAGACTTCAAGGAACTGATCAACCGTATACACTGTGAAAAGTACCCTTTACCTAAGATAGATGAGTTGTTGTCAGTGGTTTGCAAGGGGGCAATTTTTTCTAAGATTGACCTGAAAGATGCTTACTTGCAAATTCCTGTAGAGGAGGAGAGCCAGAAATTGTTAGTGATTAATACCCACAAGGGGTTATTTAAGTATAAAAGACTTCCTTTTGGACTCTTCTCGTCTCCAGCAATTTTTCAGAGATTCATGTCCCAGTTGTTAATAAACATTGAAGGTGTGGCTAGTTTTTTAGATGACATTATTGTACATGGGAAGAATGAGGAAGTGCTTGATGCTATATTAGAACAAGTTTTGAATCTCCTACAAGAGCACAATGTGAAGATTAATAAGGGTAAAACAACATTAAAGACCAAGGCCATTGAATACCTGGGGTACCATATTTCAGGTAAGGGCTTTACTCTTTCTCACAAAAATGTAGTGTCAATAGTAGATGCTCCAGCCCCAACTGATGTTGGGGAAGTACAGTCTTTTGTTGGGATGGTTACATATTTTTGTAAGTTCATGAAGAACTTTTCAACAAAATTATCACCATTGTATGAATTGTTGAAAAAAGGGGCTAGATTTAAGTGGGCAGCAAGAGAGGAAAATGCCTTCAGGAATATTAATTAACACTTTCGCCCACGAATGACGCAGCATTGGGTTGTTTTTTTATTAGACGGAGTTCCACGAACGAAGCAGCATTGCGTCGTTTTCAGCGGCAACTTTGGGAAGGGCGCGCCGCGGTTTTGGACATTATATGCATGTACTCTTGTAGGGAATTTCATTGCGAACACAATGATACCAAAATGAAAGACCTCGGACCAGAATTGAGATACGAAAGTTGAAGAGAGAATACCGTTTTATTGCTTTTATTAGCACTCACTAGGGTAACGCTCCATCACTTTCTCTGTTTGCTGTTGGAGGTACACCTGGCTTTTGGACTTTATATATGCATATAGTCCTGTAGGGAATTCTTTTGCGAACACAATGATACCAAAATGAAAGACCTAGGTCGAGAATTGAGATGTCCAAAATGAAGAGTGTACACATTTTCTTGCACTTGCGCACTCCCGGGTAACACGCTCTCACTTTCTCACCGGGCTTTTGGGCTTCGTATGCATTTAGTTCTGTAGAGAATTCTATTGCGAACACATTGATATCAATTTGAAAAACCTAGGACGAGAATTGAGATGATGAAGTAGAAAAGAGTATACACTTTTCAATATTACCACGCTCTCTAATGTAAAGAAAGGAGCCTTACAGGGCGCAGCGCTCTCTTTCTGGTAACCTTGGCCCACTTTCATCTTGTCGGCAGGGCATTATATGCATATACTCCTGTAGAGAATTTCATTGCAAACACAATGATACCAAAATGGAAGACCTAGGACCAGAATTGAGGTAGCAAAGTTGAAAGGAGTATACCATTACTCTTGATTAGCCCTCACGGGGGTAACGCACTGTCACTTTCTCTGTTTGCTGTGGGTGGTAAGCCAGGCTTTTGGAGTTTAGATGCATTTACACCTCTAGAGAATACTATTGTGAACACAATGATACCAAAATGAAAGACCTAAGACAAGAATTGAGGTGACCAAAGTGAAAAGAATGTACACATTTTATTGCTCTTGTGCGATCCCGGATAACTCGCTCTCACTTTCTCTGTTTGCTGCAAGTGGTAAGCCGGGCTTTTTGAGTTTATGTGCATTTACACCTCTAGATAATTCTATTGCGAGCACATTGATACCAAATTGATAAACCTATGACGAGAATTGAGGTGACAAC